AGTTGATGATGAAAGGTGTGAGATGTTGTAATATGAATTCTGTCACATGAAGAACGTATCATTGGTGGAGTGCATTTGTTCGGCGACGTACGCTAGGGGAGCTTTTTAATGAAATTTTTTCGCTGTTGGCGCGCGCTCAGAGTCGTTGAGTGATTCTAGAAGAAGAAAGAAGGCACCTAATTTCTGTCTGCATCATGAGCCACATGGCGCAGTGCCTACACGCTCGGAGTCATTGGATGGACACGGCTGCGGAGCGTAAATCGCTCAAGGTTGCTGCGGCGCTTGCTCGCAGGTAGAATTCTAATGTGTGAACTCGCGAGGCAGGTGAGCAGTTCCTATACAGGAACCGGTCACTCTTCATTTCAAGGACCATAAAGCCATCATAATGAAGGGACATCGCAAGCCATTCATCGTCTCTAAGAACAAATAAAAGTTGATTTCTATATATACACACACAGTGTTTCTCACGATCTACTTATATCATGATCGACTGGGCGAATTACACACGGAAAATTCACGGCTTTACTGATGATACTCTCCGGAGCTTTGCCCACTCGTCATCATTCACCCCGTGGATATGCTGTGATTTTTTTGGTCTTTTTTCCTGCGAAGTGGTTACGGACACCGGCGGGAGAGGCGAACAAAGAACTACGGCACCACCCGTGACCCGAGTTGTGATCTCATAACAGCTTCCGCTTTAAATGAAAGTGGTGGTCCGCTGGGGTGGTATGGTGGTTGCACTGCTCAGCTGCCGACTCGAAAGTCGGTGGTTCGATGTTAGCTGCAGTGGTTGCATTTCTACGGAGGCGAAATGCTAAAGACTCGTGCAACGTGTGACATCTATACACATTAAGGTTGAGCAAGACTTCGTTTTGTCGGAAAACTTGATTTTGAGATTTCTCAATCGTCTGACGCAGAATTTTTTTATCTCTCAGAAAATTTGTCACCCTTGAGTGCTCGCGGTTCCAAAAATCATTTTTGGGCCTTCTTCTTTGAAAGTGTGACAGAAAATGTGGGTGTACCTCTACGTTGTTTCCGAGTTTGAGTACCTTTTTCTGGGGAGCTTCATGACATAAACAAAGATTCTCCCACATGTTTCTTAGCGGTACTTACATAACTAAAACTGAAGCCTAGGCACTGCATTTATATATTTTTTATTATAAAAGATAACCTTCATATGTGGCAACTGTGATGCAGTGACAAGTCTAAAAAAGCAGTTTTCGTAGTCTGCTCGCAATTTTAGTTCCACTTCAATAAACCTTCGATAGCTGCCCTTGTGCGAAATTGCAGTGATCTGCAGGTAGTGTATATTAACAAGAAGAACAAGAAAAACTAAAACAGTATACAGAACACCATCTACAATTTAAAAATATTTTTGGGTTGTAATGCAACCCGCGTGTATTTTAAAAATTTTTTGCAGAATTTATAGCCATAGCTTTTTAAAATCTGCTGTACAGTCAAATAATAAAACTCTCTAAGTCTCGCTCCATGTTAAGAGGAACATTAGATGGTGTAAATTTGTGGGGCCCTCGTCTGTGGAGTCACTCATAATGGGGCGGGGGGGGGGGTATATGCTACACATCGTGAATGAATGAGAAACCATCACAGACGACGTAGGCGATCACGCTTGTGTTGTTGTGATCGCTTCGGCAGGAGCGGGCCCCTGGCTTGCCATGGTGGAAAAAACCAAACCTTGGCCACTTCGAAGTTTACTCATGTCATGTTGTTGCCAACATCTCCGCCAAATGTCGCGGGGTTGAGAGTATGAATGAAAGATATATATATATTTACAAAATATAAAGGTAGAATTTCGGGAAGCTGCAGGCAAAATGGCGGGACAACAACACAAGTGAGATCACCTTCGTTGTCTCCATCGTCCGTCTGATGGTTCCTCATTCGTTCCTAATGTCACACAACAATATTGTGGTTTTGGTGCGAAACCGTACAAATGATTTATTATTAAAGGGGCCCTGCAACACTTTTTGAGCATGCTCATAAAACACTGCCGATCAGTAGTAGAGGCTCCTGACAACACTTGAGCAAAATATTATGGCGCAACATATGGCCTGGAATTCACAGTGAATTATCAAGGTCAGCTAAAAATTGCTTTCTTTTATGTCGTCAATTGACGGAAGATGCTCAAAAATCACTCGTAGTAAGCCCACCTATCAGCCATTAGCTGATTTGAACGTGGTACACTCGGTTGTTACAGAGATCGTCGCGATATGCTGCGCGATCACACTGAAAAAGCCGCAAATTCAAAAAAAGAAATTAAAAAATTCCTCAAGGTCACGACGCGTCGCGTGACATATTTTGTTTGCCTTGGCCATCCCTCTCTGCTTAGCTTGTAGCGCTTTTGTCGGGACGAGAGGAGAGATAATGTAATTGTAGCATACAGCAAATTTTTGTAACTCCACTCGCACTGGACGGATTCTTAGAAATTTTCTGGCGTTGAATTTGTGAGGCAATAAACATTTCCTGTGAATTCGTTCCATGGTTACTTTAAAAAGTGTTTCAGGGCCCCTTTAAAAGCAAGTGCTGTGGTTCGGTGCGGGAATGTGTCATGAGTGCTAGGATCTGGCGCATGGGAGAATGCTGAGAATGAGCAGCGCTTCAGGGCACTGATCGTTGAGAAGTCTGTAAAGAGTAAAACTAGTCTCTGTGTGATGTGCCTACTTTTGATACTTCATGAATATTTTGAAAACTGCTGATTTACACTGCGGGATCTGCTAGGTTGCTAAAGAAAGCTAAAAATGGATGATAGTGGCCTTGACAGGCTTTCATTAGGGCTATGCTACCACGTTTAAATGAGCAGTGGTAACGTACGGTTATTTTGTGTAAAAGTACAGTGCAAGCTGCATAAAAACTCATTTGCATATATTATAACGCTCAAGTGACCGTGACAGCTTTTGCAATGAACAATACGATTTACTAACATAATGTAGTAAGATAACATGATATGTGATGCCAACAGGCAAAAAATATTCCACGCTTGCTGTAATACCTGCTGACTGCGCTGACTGACACTCTCGTGTTTAAATGCACGCACACACCCCATAAAGTGGACGGAGGGATGACCGCTGGTGTAGCTCATTAGGTAGAGCATCAGATGCATTATTCTAAAGTCAAAGGTTTGGTCCCTGCTCGTGGCGAGTTATCTCTTCATCTGCTTTTCTTTCTCAACATGTAAATTTCAATTATTTCTAATAACATTTCATGTTAGGCTTGTGCGAGTAGTAAATTCTAGGTTCAAAGTGAATAGTGATCTTAGTAGAATAATTTTGAAGAGAATTCGAATAGTATATATGATATACAAAGAAAAATGGACATATTTATCGTCACCTAACTAACCTGTACATTATTTCTTCAAAATTGAAATAGGACCTCTATTTCTTTTGTTCAAAGAAAGTCAAAATAACTTTGAGTAGTAGCAGGATTTAACTTTCAGTAGGGTGTGAGTGATGACCTGTAAAATACGTAAGATATCAAAATTTATTTACTTACGAGCATATAAGCAGTCATAACAAGCTTTTAGGCTTAATTAAATGATAAATTGATTTGAGGGTAATATGCTTATTGAAAAGTGCCTTGCAACACTTGTTCAAGTAGCCATGGAATGGCTTCAGTAACGAAGCTTATTGCCACGTGAATTCACCACCGCAAAAATTTTAGAATTTGTCCAGTACAAGCGGAGTTGCAAAGATTTGTTTCCCACTGCAGTTGCATTCTCTTCTCTCGTCCTGACAAAAGAGGAGGAAGCTAAGCAAGGAGGGATGGCACTGGGAAAGAAGATCACGCTCTTTTTTTCTTTTCTTCGAATACGCAACCTTTCAATGTTATCGCGCACGTTCATGTAGACAAGTTGCGGCTGTCTGCAGCAACCCCTAGTAATGACTGAGCGCACCATGCTCAAATCAGCCAGTGGCTGATACAATGGTTGTGACGAGTGATTGTTGAGCTTGTGGTATCATTTGCTGAGAGAAGAGAGCAGTTTTTAGCTGACTGAGAATTTATTGTGAATTCAAGGCCGTGTACTGCGCTATAAAATTTGGCTTGCGTGTTCTCGTTAGCCTCGAGTGCTGATTGGCAGCATTTTCTGACCATGCTCAAGAAATGTTGCGGGACACTTTAAATTTGAGGGGGAGGGGGGCTTCGCGGCAGAGCGGATTTCTCCTGGACAGGTACTTTTTTGGCTTAGCATTATTACACTACAGAAAAGTTGCTTTTAAAGGCAGTTGCGTGCGGAATAATATACTATACATTTATTGGTTCATTGCGAATACGTTGAAATGTTCAATAATTTGAATTTGAATACACTACTATCATTCACACAAGCCTATCTCATTTGCTTTCTTTGGCATCGTTATCTATTACCTTGTATTATTATAATTATAACGTCAAGCAGTAACTACTGACTTAGTGGAATAAAGCTTCTTTGATGCCCCGTTACGGATGTCTAGTGGCTAAGGTACTCGGCTGCTGACCCGCAGGTCGCGAGTTCAAATCACGGTTGAAGTGGCTGCATTTCGGATGGAGGCGGAAATGTTGTAGGCCCGTGTACTCAGATTTGGGTGCACGTTAAAGAATCTCAGGTGGTCAAAATTTCCGGAGCCCTCTACTACGGCGTCTCTCATAATCAAATAGTTGTTTTGAGACGTTAAAACCCACAAATCAATCAAATCAATCAAAGCTTCTTTGATGTTTTCCCCTATTCTATATATAGTGAAAGAAGCACATTTGATCTCATAAGATGAACATCACAAAATGGAGTTGTAAAACCTGTGAACATAGAAATGATTGCTGGCGCTTCGGTATTCTCAAAGGTGCATGAGCAGCGGCAATCGCTATTACTTGGTGACACTTGTGTAAATGACAGATCGGCTCATCTCGAGACGTACAGTATTGTCAAATTTTACTGCACTGTTGTGTGCATATGACCACTGTTGTTTCGTAAAGTCCATCGAATGAGAACCAAACTGAGCGTGATGCTCTTTGCTCAGGTCATGTTCAAGTCTCAGCTTCAGAAGAGCGGAATGGAGCATCAACTTCGACGGGAGATTGAGATCCAGTCTCATCTCAGGTGAGCTTAATTTTTGACGCTGAATGTAGTGCGGCTATCATACACAATGAGACGTTGGCAGGCTTGTTACGCCATCCAATGTACGTTCTTCCGTAACAGCGATGACCGCGCCACTGTTTTTCTTTTTATCTCTAAATATGACAGCTTACGGCAGATATCTGTTTTCCTCGCCTGCGTTGTTAAGGTACGAGGCCAAGAGTCAAAAATGTTTTTTAAGGCAATAATCATTACAGAATATTAGTCTGCAATATAAAGCACACCATTTTAGGCACATGTGAGCATTATAAACAATCACATTTTTTGTAACCTTTTCATAATTAAAAAGATTTTTTAAAGGTAGGCCTTACACCAATACTTGTAACTCAAGTTTTACTTGTAACTCAGAATATTATTTTTGTAGGGACATAGGGAAATAAAAAAGCTTTAGCCTGTGCAGTGAACCAAAACAAATGAGATCTGGTGAATATTTTGAAAAAATTCTTATTGAATGAATACCCAGAAATTATCTACTAGTACTAAAGGCACATAAGTATAACAGGCAGCCATATTTAAGGGGGGAGGTGGCATTGAAAAAAACTTTTGGTTTGTTGACCTACAGCAATGAAATTTGGCATGCATACTCATAAGTGTCTCGAATTGGGAAATATGCAGTTTCATCATGATATCTTCAGCAGTTCTCAAGTTACATAATGCTGCACGATACAAATACATGGTCTGCTCGTGGAAAGGCCAGGAAGCTGCTGGCCTTTCCTGGCATGAAAACATGCCAGGAAGCTGCGAATGGTGTTGATCTTTACTCAAAAGAAAGCTACAGGGTATGACACTCTCAGAAGTTTTTATTAAGTACTCTTTTTTTAGAGATCATCATGGCTGCCGACATACATTGTCAGAAACAGTGGCAGGAACAAATCATCGTCTAGAAAAATAACAGGGCCATAAAACAGAAAGTCAAGATTGCTGTACCCACAAGCAGTGTTCAGGAATTCAGGGGAAAAAACAGAATCAAAATCGGTCCAATTGTTCCCGTGCTAATTTTTCCACGAGCAATGCACAATGTCCAAAATACACTTGTGAGAAAAAGCCTGTCGAAGTTTTCGACAGGCGTTTTTCAATGAACTTTTTTGTTTCTCGTTGAATATTGATGAAAATTGGCACCGACACTAACAATGACCTCACAATGCTTTCAAAAAAATTTTGAAGTGATACCACAAATATTTTACGAGAAACAAATTATTTCTTCATTGAACCATGTGGAGGGGCTGAGCATAATGTCAAAAAAAAAACAGTATTGAGAAAGCTGCGCTTAAAGTTTCAACTTTCTTTACGTCTCTAAGACACCTAAAAATTGTGATCTCTGGTTTGTCTTGAGATATTTGACTTCTTTTCACGATTTACTCCTTTTCATGATTTACAAAGAACAAGTATGGATTTCAAACCAAGTTCTTTGCATGAAGCAGTGGTGTGATAGGTATGACACAAAAGATTGTCAATTGAATAAAACCATATACTGAAATTATTACACATACTTTTTGTGCTGAAATTGTAATTAGTGTAATTAGGTACTTGATTACAAATATTCACTGAACTTTTCTTTATTTGGAGAGAGGCTTATTGCATCAGAAATAAGGATCACATCATGACGGCCTACGCCTTCTTTCTCAATAACAAAATTATGGGCAGAAGACTGGTGGCACGGGGATTTCTAGCACAATAATTAATGACACAAAATAGGCATATAAAAATTCGTGCTCCTGATTCATACATGCTCTTTCGCCGCTCTTGCTGTAAAACGCATCATCATACAGCCGGTCGCGGAAACTCTAATCTACAGCAATTCATTAACCTCGGAACATTCATGGACGTTCATGGCGATATCAAGCACGCCTCCAAGCACGTCAGAACTTCATCACAAAAGCTTATTGACAGCACTCCATATGATCGTGGGGTGCGCGGCCGCGTGGACAGTGCAGCCGGCACGTGATGCACTTGCCGGCGGCGTTCGATGACGATGCGCGAATTGTGTAACTACGAAGACTAAAAAGTCGGCACGCACTGCACTTGGCATCTCATTTTCGAATGACGACGCGCGAAATTGCTAGCCGCTGTTCTGAGCGACCCTTGGCAGTGAAGGGTTGGGGGGGGGGGGGGGGGGGACGAGCTTGACTGCGTTGTCCGCGGCCGATGCGTAAAATGCCCGTACGTGATTCAGAGGAGCTAGCGAGTGATGTGGTACATTCCTTGCGAAAAAGCATGTCTCCAAGAGTGCGCTTGCGCGTCGTTTCTGCCCGCAGTCTCGCTGTCAGCGGAGTTAAGCCTATAGCCGACTCCGTTGACGCGCCGCACTCGTAGACCGCCGCGCGCCCGCTCGTAGTAATCTGATTGTGCATCCGGTGCGGCCACTCGTAGTAATCAGATTGTGCCGCCGCTTTCAGCTTCGTTGCTTGCGAAGAAGCACGTCGCCGCGAATGCGCTAGCGCGCCGTTCCTGCCCGCAGCTTCACTGTCGGCGTAGTCAGGGCTAAAGAAGACTCCGATGACGCGCGGCGCTTGTAGAGTGCGCTCCCGCTCGTAGTAACCTGATCCCGCATCCGCTTACTGCTCGTAACTAAAGCGTGGTTATATCTCAAGTGATTATCAAGCCGTTAACACGTCACAAAGTGGCGATTTTCGAGAGTCATGTCCTCGCGGCGCACAAGCAGCAGACGACGATCTCCCGGAGCGAGCATCGGGCCAATGGCGATGCGAGCTGAGGCAACATGGCGGCCACGGCCAATCAAGGGCCTCAAAACGACCTTCAAACATTTGCTTTTTGCTCGCCTGTTGTTAAAAAAAGGAGTCAGCTGAGGCGGGAAAATTAAAGACAGAGAAATGCTATTTCCGATGAGCTCAAGAAGCCGGCTCCCGGCCCAAGCATCGCGAAGCTAAAATTTTTTGAAAAACGCCGTTTTCTTGCCATTTACAAAAAAATTTTCCCTTCCTAGGAGGGTGAAACGAATTTTCCAAAGCACTTCTGCACGGTTTTCAGTGTAGGTATTTTCGAACCAGATAGAAAAAGGATCCAGAAACTGAAAACTTGAGTTTCAAACAATCAATTTTTTTGCCATTTTTCGCGATCCCAAAGCCGCGTCCCCCCCTTAATATTGTAGCACGGTGTTTGCTCATTAAGGTTCATTGCGTTGCAAGAATCGAGGCTAGTCCGTCGCCTCTTTCTGCGTTCTCATGTCCCGGCATTACTCTCCTCTCCTCCGCGGTGTGCCGCGTTGGGAGAGTGGGGAGGGACGTTTAACTCCTCTCACCCGGTTGCGGATATTGACTGTGGCACCATGCGTGGAGTCTCTCGGGACGTTTCGCGCACGTGCGTCGGGAGTGAGAGAGAACCTCTCCGAGACGACATAAGGTAAGCACGCATTTCTTTTTCGTCCGTCGACTGGTTTTGTTTGGGGCTCATCGGGACTTCACCAACAGCGCCTTGCGCCTGCAGAGGACGCTCGCCTTTATCTGAAGCCAATGCGCACGGAGTTTTTGCCCTCGTTTGAGCAACCGGGCCCTTTGTCCTGGTGTCACCGTGAATCACATTTGCCCACGGAGACGAGCTCGTGGCACCCCTGTGTAGTACTTCTCGCCCGTGGCATGGATAAGCCCATTTGCTTTCCCGCTGCACCTTTGCAACGGGCTCTGTACGGTTTTTTGATGTTGCTGCAGACAATCAAGTATTACGACCTTCAGCAGTACCGTGTTTTCGCCACAGCGACGGTTATCGCGTGCCCGGCGGCTTGCTAAGACTGAACCCCCGCTAGTGGCCGTACGCCTTTGGGATACTTGTACACTACACGGGTGCCCAACCTGCAATCAAGCGATGGGGCACTAAAGCATGCATACTAGTTTGATAAGGAATTGTGTCAAGTTTTACTCAAAACTATTTATTAGCAAAAGAGTTATGACTGTTCCCGTACGGAAAAATAGCAGGAATGTAAGTTCTGAGAATGTCGACAAAATAGACGGGAACAAGCAGATCACTTTCACCAGATAATAATCATTATCATCATAATCAGCCTGACTACGTCCACTGCAAGACAAAGGCCTCTCCAATGTTCCGCCACTCATCTCGGTCCTCTGCTTGCTGCTGCCAATCTATACCCGCAAATTTCTTAATCACATCTGTCCGCCTAATCTTATGTCTCCCCCTAACCTACTTGCCTTTTCTGGGAATCTAGTTAGTTACCCTAATGACCAGTGGTTATCCTGTCTACGTGCTATGTGCCCGGCCCATGTCTATTTCCTCTTCTTGATTTCAACTATAATATCCTTAACGCCGGTTTGTTTCCTGATGCAATCTGCTCTCTTCTTGTCTCTTAAGGTTACACCTACCATTTTTCTTTCCATTGCTCGCTGCGTCATCCTCGATTTAAGCTTAACTCTTATTGTAAGTCTCCAGGTTTCTGCTCTTTAGCTAAGTGCCGGCAGGGTGCAGATGTTATATACCTTCCTCTTGAGGTATAGTGGCAAACTACCTGTCATGATTTGAGAGTGCTTGCCAAATGGGCTCCATCCCATTTTTATTCTTCTAGTTACTTCAATCTCGTGGTTCTGCTCCGCTGTTACTACCTGTCCTAAGTAGACACAGTCTTTCACAAATTCAAGTGCACTATTACCTATCTCGAAGAGCTGCACTCTTGCGAGATTGGTGTACATTACTTTCATTTTCTGCAGATAAATTTAAGACCTACTTTTCTGCTCTCGGTGTCTCACTCCGTAATCATGAATTGGGATTCGTCCCCTGAGTTACTGAGCAATGCAATGTCATCGGCAAAGGGCAGGCTTACTAAGGTACTCTCCATTAACACTTATGCCAAACATTTCCCATTCTAGGCCTCTGAAAACCTCCCTTAAGCCCGTGTTAAACATCATTGGGGAGATTGTGTCCCCCTGCCTTACACACTTGTTAATTGTTATTTTGTTGCTTTCTTTATAAAGCACTACTGTAGCAGTTGATCCCATGTAGATTTCTTGCAGGATGTTTATATATGCTTCGTCGATGCCCTGATTCCGCAGTGTCTGCATAACTGCTGATATTTCTACTACATAAAATGCCCTCTCGTATTCTATGAAAGCTATGTGTAGTGGCTGGCTGTATTTTGAACATTTCTCTCTTAGCAGATTGATAGCATGAATGTGTTTGATTGTTGATTAGCCTGTTCTAAATCCTGCTTGTTCCTTTGGTTGATTGAATTTTAATGTTTTCTTAATTTTGTTAGAAATTACCTTTGTAAATAGCTTGTATCCTATGGAGAGCAAGCTGATCAGCCTGTATTCTTCAAGTCCTTGTTATCTCCTTTCTTATGTATTAGGATGATGTTAGCATTCTTCCAAGATGATCAGGAGTCCTGAAATTTTTAATATTTGCAGCCACTTTTGTCGCGGACTTTACTGCTGTGCGCCCTCGCTCGAGTGGCAACTCTGCATTTTTCGTTTTGTAGCTGACATTGTATGGTCAGTACAAGAACCACGGTGTTTTCAGGCTGAGGTGCTAATTAATATTGAGGCAAGCTTTTGCAGTGCAGAGACCAGGCTTGATTCAGATTTGCTTATAATATCAAATGTTCTTCTTCTGTCATTATTGAAATGACACGCAGCGTCAACCAGAGCAAATTTGATGGTTGACAAGTTCACATATCAGTGCTTGAGCACGAACAACACATGTAACATGTTATATGTTTATTTAGTTAGACGTTTATGATTTTATGATAAAAAATGAGGGGTTGACAATGCTTTTAGAGCACTGTTACGTTAGCACTTGATATCATAGCTAAATAACGAAGAAAATACTACATAACAAGCTAATCTTATGATGCAGACGAAGCTCGCAGTTTCAGTTTCGTGGGTGATCGGTGGTCTCACATTTTTGCCTGTAACTCTTCATAAAAAAACAAAAAACTAGGCGGAAGCTTTCTGCAGCTAAATGTTGGGCGAAAAAGTGCACATTTCCCATGATAGAAAACCAAAAAATTGACATTTAGAAAAAAATCAGTTTTTCCTTGAAGTAATATGCATTAACAAAAACATTTCACAAAACATTCCCTTATGAATCGATCGCCCTTAGATTCTTTGGAATCTGTGAAGTATCAGCAAAGTCGAACATTTCTTGCACACTAAATTGCTTTCTCTCTTCTCTTGTCTCGACAAGGACGGTGGAAGCAAAGCAGGCAGGGTTGGCATGGTAGAAACAAGTTACGTCACGCAAATCAGGACCTTGAGCACATTTTCTTTTTTTCTCTTCGAACACGCAACTTACCTTCAATGTGATCACGCACACGGCCGCGTGTCTGTCTTCTACGGTGACCTCCGTAACTGTGCAGCTAACAATGCTCAAATCGGCCAGTGACTATAAATTTGGGCATAGAGCATCATTTGTACAAAGAAAAAGGAACGATTTCTAGCCTACGTTGTGAGTTAGTTCTAAATTTCTGGCTGCATGCCGAGCTATATCGTTTGCCTCACGTGTTCATCATAGTCTTGATTACTGGATAGCAGCGTTTTCTAAGCCTGCTGATAAGGTGTTGCAGGTCCTCTTTTCATTCCCACTGAGGCATGTGCCGCAACTGTGCAGCGAGCAGTTCTCCAATCAGCCAGTGAACATAAATTTCGGTATGTGGCATAATTTGTAGAAAAAGTAGGGAACGAACTCTAGCTAAAGTTTCGAGTGAATATGCTGCGATTTTTGTTTCCTTCCCCAGCTGTTACACCCACTGTGGTAGCTAAACAGTCCGGCGCATAGCCAGAAATTTTTTTCAGGGGGTGAAAGGGGGGCCACCAATTTTATTTGGGAGGGGCACCCTCTTGCAAGGGTTATTTTTCACTTTCTGTGCCTTGGTGAAAAAAAAAATTTGGGGGGGGGGGGGCAGTGGTCTTGTGTGCCACCCCCTGTGTAGGTCTCTGGGTCATGTTGGTGATATTTTGAACACAGATGTGACTTTTAGGCCATGGTTTTCTAGTTTCAGGAAGGATGGAACTTGAAAGGGGTGAGGGCCATGGATATGTAAATGGCATGTATGTGAACTTAAATTTAGGAGTATTTGGATAATCTCACGAAATTGATTTGCTCTCCTTGTTATGGCGTATCTCGGTTTCGACATGTAAAACCCCTAACTTCATCTAAAGCCTGTGACCGTGCCTGTGTTGTTGGGAACACTTTGCTGAAGACTGTCAATAGTGTCATATTGCAAAGACAACTGGCATTTTACAAAGACCTGCGATAATACTCTTCATGCCTTTGTGGAACTTAGCCTGATGGCTTATGAATTTGAAGCTTGCTGAACGTGTGCTTTTTGTATCTCTCAAAAGGTTTTGATTTGCTGGTTTATTGACATTTGCTCCTAATTTTTGCTGCCATATGCTCCTGCTCCTGTATTCGACTAATAAGCAAACTCAATGTAATAATATGCATTCGAACCTGTGGAACCATGTTCCTTAGTTTTCTTGCCATGGTAGCCCAACAGGCTGAGGCATCTTGCTGCTACACTGATGAATGGCAATGTGATTTCTGGCCACTGGCTAGGTTTCAGTGGAGGTGCAATGAAAGAATACCAACATACTTAGCATGCAGCATGACCACCATTAGTGCGCATGCGCCAAGTATCTCCTTACGCGTGCGCGAGGAAAGGGGAGAGTTGGCGCATAAACAGTGGGGGAGAGAACAGTCGCCAAGGGCCCCCTCTTCATGTGAGTGCAACGTAGGAGAAGGTGGCTCAGTGCTGCTTCCGCTTTGTTTCTCTTCTCCCGTTTATCTCTTTGCCACAGCTGTGCGCTCATATACTGCTGCACATGCTCGCTCCGTTGCCCTCTCCTAGAAGCGCTGGGTGTTCACTTTGTGGCACTCACACACACACATTAATTCACACAAATGGGGGGGGGGCAACATAAGCGGTACACAACATGTACACAACTCCACACACAAATGAAACCTACACGGACACATACAAATGGAAACGCAAGTGAACACCAGTGCTGCTTCGCATACCCACATGGTTCCCTTTAGTGGGAGACGATGTAATTATTTTTCTGTAGTTTATTTTATGAAATGCAATAGAGGGATTTTACAGTCTCTAAAGAATTATGCGGTGAAATGTCACGTCTGCGTAAACTTGGAGCGATAGCAGAGTTAAAAAGCTTGAGCTGGCAGATCCGTGGGCACTCGTCATTTCAGCAGCATGTCTTGTCTGTTGTTGCAAAATGTTTTTCAGGCACCCGAACATCCTGTGCCTGTTCAACTGGTTCCACGATGAGACGAGGGTCTATCTGATCCTGGAATATGCGCCTCAGGGCGAACTCTACAAGCAGCTTACTTCGGCCAGGCGTTTCACTGACAAGAGAGCTGCCACTGTAAGAACATAGCCGAGCCTTTCGGTTGTGAATTTGCAGACGGGTGTGTCACGTGTCATTTCATGCTGTGGTAGGCAGAACTTTTGGGAGGGTGATATGCCAAAGTCTCTTATCCCTGGGCTGATAGTTACTGGAAGATAATGAAGTAAAATACTAAAGACTTCAAACAGCCCCTGGAAAAAACGAGTTTGTACATGGGTCCTGGTTCAGTTTCTTTATTGTCAATTAAAAAGTGACACAAGAAATTCCTATCTAAAGTGTTCACCTTATGATGTGGTTTCTCTTTTCTCACTATTCTTGTGTTCAGTACATCTACCAGCTCTGCGATGCGCTCAAGGTCTGCCATGCACAAAACGTCATCCACCGCGACATCAAGCCGGAAAATCTTCTCGTCGGCATTAATGGCGAGATTAAGATTGCAGACTTCGGCTGGTCCGTGCATGCACCTTCATCCAGGTGCGTTCGTCTGACTGTTAAATTCTTTTACACTGCGATAGGATGTACAGCAGTCTATCGAGAATTGCTTGGTGGCAATTTATCACAGAAATGGCGTCAGTAAAATTGTGCACAAACTGGTCAAAAAAGGAAAACTGTGCTTAAGCGCTTGACCAGGTAATCAAAGCTACAGTGCGTTACTCTGTGGAGACAGACGCCAGGCACTCCAGCCACTATGCCGTCAGCACACGCACCCAGTGTGATGGGAATGTGTTTAGCCATGTTCCTCATATTGGTATCGACTCATTGAGTGGAAACGCTAGACAAAAGACGAAGGAGAGAACAAATGTGCGGCTGCGTTAGCCTAAATGTGAAAGCATGCGTTTATGCCGCAGGCGGGCCACAATGTGCGGCACGCTGGATTACCTGCCACCTGAGATGATTGAAGCTGCCCCCTACAACGAGAAGGTGGACCACTGGGCCCTCGGCATTCTCATCTACGAGTTCTTGGTGGGCAAGCCCCCCTTTGAGTCGCCCACGATGCACGAGACGTACCGGCGCATACGCGAGTGCAAGGTGCAGTTCCCTCCGTACGTAAGCGCCGAGGCACGGGACCTAATTGGCAAGGTGAGCACCATTCAGTGTGAATAAACAGTGGTCATCCTCATATTCAAGTAAGAGCATTGCATGGCGAGTCAGTTGAGAAGCAATAATGTTTGGCGTTATGAACACGAATGTCTAGGGACATTAACAAAGGATGCAGCCCGTGAAAGCCAGAAATCTACCCAAAAACTGTTTTCAAACTTGTGCCTCAGAATGGGTCTGTGAATTCTTGCTTTGTCTATTTTATAGTTTACACTGATCAGAATGGCAACAACGTGTTCTTGAACATTATAGTAGTTTTATTGCTCTAACCACTATCTTGAGGATTTCTGTTCGGATGGTAATTTCCCTTTGAGCAAGAAAGCAAACTTAGACAGTGACGTTAGAGCATGCTATAAATTATTTTTTCTGCCATAAAAGTAGTTCCTTTTTGGAATCAAAAGGTGAGAATACAAACGCTGTTAAAATATTGTTCACATCTGTTCATGAATCAGTTCTATTGAGCATAGTTTCCCCTCTTAATGAGTGGCATCATAGAGATGCTGTAGTACCTTGAGGAATAATTAATGTGAATTCAGTGAATCGAAACTGAGCCGATGTGTGCTAAAGTGAATTGAGACACTGACTTTTAATTCACGTAGGTCGAAACGAATCAAATGCATAAATTTAAATCAATGTACGTTGAAGTGAATAACGCCTTCAGGCATGAATTACTGTATTTACTCGCCTAATGAACGCACTCGCACAATAAACCCACCCGCATCTTCAGTCGTCAAAATTTAGAATTTTTCCCCACGTAATAAACGCACCCCCTAAATTCATCCGCTGCAGTTTCACTAACCACACCTGGCGCCTCCTTACCTGTTGCTTCCTTCCGCTTTTTATTATTATGCCAATTTCCCTCGGCCACCTCTGCTCGCTGCCTCCTCCCCTTCGCCCGTTGCTGCGCGCCGTATTGTTTTTTCTTTCTATCTGTGTGCGGCACGTCCCCTGTCTTTTTTATCTGTGCATTACAGCGGGGTTCATGAACGGTGTGAGTGTAGAGACGTCGCAGCTGATAAGCAGACGGCAAGCGAAGGTAATGAAACTTCCCGTGCCAACCGACGGTCGCTTCGTGCAAGTATGAAACTTTAAGGCCCAACGACGTGCACGCGATTTTATAGCGACGGCAACAGGACTTATTGTCGCTATCGCGTCGCAGGTTTTCAGAAAACCTGAAAAAATTGTTTGTCGCTCAAATAAGATCTTGACAATTTCCACAACATGGTAGCACCCTCAATTCTCACTTTGCTTGTTCTCTGCACGTACAGGAACTTCTCAAGTAGAAGCGAGGCGGCAGCTGTATTTTGTAATTATTATTGTTATGAACTGTTTGTTTTGATGCTTTGGGGTAGCTTCTTGCAATGTTAGTTACTTGCTACAATGTGAACGGCATCATTGTGGTTGTCGTGCGAGGCTGCCATGATGTTGTCAGAGTGCGCGTCGTAGCGCACGCTTCTGGGTGCCCCTTGAGATCAAAGCAGATACCACTGTTACGGTTAAATGATTGCAAAATAAGATGGTCGCAAAACGCTTTTATGGCATGCGTGGGCGATGCGGGTACAGCTTGCACAAGATGGCGTCGTCAACCACCGAAGATGAATAAAATGCAACAAAGAGGCTGTTTCGGAACAGTGTATGTGTACATCAATTGCGAAAGGCTCAGTGGCCTAAATTTTTTTGCATGACTGGATTCTTTGCTCATCCCAAAAAAGTTTTAATAAAAGTATCCCCGCAATATAAACGCACCCCCAACTTTGCTTTGATTTCTCGAGAAAAAAAGTGCGTTAATTACGCGAGTAAATACGGTACGATGCTCTGTTTACGTATGTCTCAAATTATCACAGCATAATTCTGAGGCACTTAATCTTACAATCCAAGAAAGAAAATGAAGCAATGTGTTGTTTTGCATGAGTTTGTCTTTTACTGTTAATAGTGTGTAATTAAATATTTAATTAATTTTTCTGCAGTAACTTGCTTTCTAACGTTACATGAAAATAACGAATTGTCATTGTTCCAATTGTGTGTGTAAGTTGTTTTTGGTTGTGCACACTCATTTTGAGGAAAGGAAAGTAGTAGTTTGGCTTGGGTCCTGAAGTGTGGTGTGCTGAACGACTAGTCGCAGCACCTACACCAAAAAGATCGATCAGTCATACGCAGCACACTGTAGTACAAGACATCCTGAATCAAATGTAAACATTTTGCAGAAGCGCACTAGGTTGGCATAAAATGTTGAAGAGAAAACTCCAACCAAATTTACATCATTAAGTCAAGACATACTGGATATGGATAAGGTTCAGTTCATTCAATGAGACGTGCATCTAGCTCTCTTTTCCCTACAAGTTGACACAACTAGCATAAACGAGTTGCGTACACAAGCATAGTCACCACCGCTGAATGTGATGAAGGGAAGTTAGTGCTTTGCAGAGCAATAACCTTTGCTTGTGATTTGCTTAGAGTTAGCTTAAATTTGCCATGACACCAAATTTTCAATCATAATCTGCGTCATGTGGGTAAGTCTCTAGGTATTCCCTTATAAGCTGGTTTAGCTTTAGTGCATTTCTTCAGGTACTCAATTTTAAATTTGATATTATAAGCACGCGAGCTGCCTGTGAGTCGGGCTACACTGGGGCACACGCCAGCTTTGATGTAAGGAGCAGTTGACTAAGCGAGTGCCTGCATTCGGCAGCTGATGTTGTTCCATGGTAAGCTGCGCGTCAAATCAAGATATTCTATCTTTCTTCAGTTTGGTGCTGAAATTGAAAAATTCGTAACGGTTGAAACTTCGATAGAAGGCGACGGCTCTGCTCCTTCCAACTTGTGACGTCACAGGTGCCATAGCAAAAGAGCAGTCACTGGCGGTGGGCGGGGTTTAGAGCTGGCCTCATCTCGGGCTTGTTTTGCCCTGAAATATTCTTTTACAGCCCACTTTTTAGACCTGTGTATGTATAATAGGCTCTCTACCAATAGTTTTTGCTGAAAAACACAAATTCTTGGATGACCATGCAATGGCCTCTTAAGGAACCTCGTTGCTTTGTCTTACCAGAAGCTGGAGATGGGGGAAGGCAGGCTGTACAGTTGAAGAGTAGTATAGTACAATTCCAATGGCTGTCTTGATGTGGTGAACTCGCCAGGGTACAATAAACTTGACAATTGGACTACCAGCCGCAGTAGCTCTTTGGCTATGGCACTGCGCTACTGAGCTCACTTGTGGGTTTAATACTGAGTGTTGTAGCTGCATTCTGATGTGCTTGAGAATATCAGAAGGAGCATATAGTTTGCAAGATAGTGCTTAGCAATGTACATAGGCAATGGCAAGCAGTCCTAAATGTTGCGCCAAGTTAAAACACATCACTTATCAGTCTTTGTTATTAGCACTACATGTTATCCCGATTGTTTCCTTGTTTGAGGATAAATGAAATTAGGGGACCCTAAAGCTTCACCTTTAGGAGTTGGACGATAGCAACTACCTGTTCCTAGTGTGCATTTCAAACACTTAGTTCATGAAACCTTTTTGAATTTGCTATGCACCCACTATACATGGCCTTAAGGGAATAGGTGCAGTAGCATGTGTGCCTTTTGTAGTGGGGTACCGGCTTTCAACCACGGAGCCATTTTGGTAACCACATATTCTGATGCCCTGATGCCCGTGGCTTATACCACGCATTATTACTGCAATATTACATGTTGTATTGTGAAGCATGTAACAAGGACGCGTGTGTTTGTGGAGCATGTAAACTACTTTCACTGCATTTCCAAGCAGAGGAAGTTCTCACTGTTTTCAGAAGCAGAAGTTTGGCTGTGTGGTCGAACATCTGCTTGCCACACAAACGACCCGATTTCAATTCCAACTCGGACCCAAATGGCTCTGGTTTGGGCCCCACTCTGCTTCACGAATATTTATTATATTTATTTTATTTCTGTCGTTTCATATTTTTTCGTCATGCATAAGATGATGAATTTTCGCTCACAACCAACGACGCCGACACTGGAATTTCTGCGAAACGAGCTCTTTAACGCTATCACATTAGTTTGTTAGTGTATGTAGATCCCGCAAAAGGCACTTTAGCCGGGGCAAGTGTTCAAGACATAATGGCTGAATACCTTTTTATGTACGTATTATTTTCTAGATGCGAAGTAGCTCTTCGACTAGCCTGTGTAACGCTGTCCCTCCGTACGAACGCGCTGCACGGTCCAGGTGCTGGCACGGTGCCAAGTAGGTCCCGCCGCTGCTGCGCGTTGATGTCACGCTCCCCTCACAGTGTGCACTGACAACACTTTCTTTCTCGCCTGCCGTGCGCTCGCCCGGCGCCCGGAGCTGCCATCTCGTCCGTTTGCTTGTGACTGCCGCTTGCTACGCCGCGAACTCATCGGTTCAAGCTCAATAAAGCTGACATACGCCTAACGTACGCGTTGAAACATTTCTGTACGTGTCACCTACAAGACGTACGCTAGCCATCGCTTCAAAAGATTCTTCCAGTGCCCACTGGAGCACGCGCATTCGCGCAATTCAAGCCGTTACGTCACTCGTGTGCAACGCTGCTGCTTTGTATCCCATCAGGGTTCCCTTCGAGAAGATGGTTCAAGCTTTTTTGTGTGGGTAAAGTGAAAACACTTCCCCTCTAAACTCTAGAAGCATACTGCTACAAAAGGCCCTAGCTGTTGCATTTTCGGTGGAGTCTAAAATGTGTGAGGTACATGTACTTAAATTTAGGTGCATGTTAAAGAACCCATGGTGTTCAAAATTGGGCAGTTGCGGCAGTTGGGCAGTGCCTAAAAAAGTACTGTTATGTGGGAGCACGATATGAAGTTGTACCGCCATGCCCTTGTTCTTTCGATTGCCCCTTATGATGCTCTTTGTTGTAACAAGTGATGTTGCAGCAAAACTGGTAGAGCAGTTAGAACATGCCTCCGAAATAAAATAAACAGCGACTGTGGCAAGGTTCTAACATATTGTTAGGGTGCTCTATGATTTTAGATGTGCTAAACTACCATGTAACGCAGTAGACGGAGAGAAAAAGGGTATCATTAGTATGTGCGCCTTCTGAAAAAAAAGTTAATGCGCCCTCTCTATAGATGTAGAGATCACTCAACATTTAAGAATCTTTGATTTCTTGCATGTGCCAGTGATATATAAGTATAATCTTAGCTCTCTCAATGAACTGTCTGTGAACTGTGCTTGTTTTTGATCACAACAGCTTCTGAGAAGATGCCCGTCTGAGCGCATATCCCTGGACGAAGTCAAGGTCCACCCGTGGGTTGTGAACAACGCAGACACTACAGTCGTGTGCAAGACCTTGTAGAAACGGACGACTGTGGCAAATGCATGTATATAAACATGTACAGGCACACCCGGGGCTTCTTGTCACTCTACTCCTGTAAAAGTGCTTCAGACATTAGGTACATTTCACCATGTGTGACTTGCACCTCATCAATGTGGAGCTAACTTCAAGGCGTAGTAACACTTCAAGAACTAGATGCACTGCACATTAGAGTGTGCGTCCTCACTTTTTAGCCACTTTATTCTACACATGTTGACCATTCAACTTTGCAAGCTTTATTGATATACATTGGTTCAGCATGTATAATGTTTTGAAAGTTTTTAACTTTGTTTCTTCATTGACACGTGCATGACACTACAGGTATGAATGTGAAATATAACTAATACACCGACATTGAGTCACACTTCGAGGTGGAAGAAATATTACGAACGTACCTGCAGTAAACACACCAGGGTAGACTATTTGTGTCGCAATATTGCATATTGTGTATCTGAGGAAGCTGCCGCTTGAATTGTACAAATAAGTGCTGCGGCAAGGAAGTTGCAGGCTATAGAACCCATATCGGCTGATTTGGATTTCTCACTCTGCCTTCTCACCCTTCTAGTTTGCGAAAGAAGGTAGGTTTAGGCTGTTGTTGTGACAACTCTTTTTTTTTGGCTGCGCGATGTCAACAATGTCGTGGGTGCGCTGTTATGCCTGCGAGTCCACAGCGGACTCCGTGCCTTCTGAAAAGGCAATCTGTGTCAAAGGCCAGCCCGCCTGACGCGAACAACTCAACGGCGTAAACACGCGCGGCGCCTTTCTGTCGCCCACGTGCAGTGAGTCACCTCAGCAAGCGAGCCCGTCGAGTAAACAACTTGGCGCCTTCCTCCTGTCCTGGCGGGTCTGACGCAATGCCTTGCGACGTCACTCGTCCTTGGGTGCAGCCACCTGCAGGCGCAGCCTCTCCAGATTGAGGAGAAAGAAGGACGCGGCCCAGCGGCGACCTCATTGAAGAATTCGGACTCGCGACCAGCGTCGCTTCAGGTTGACGTTTGGGTTGGACCCGGGGCATATAAAAGAAGCCCTGCGGCGCGTCGAGAGAGAACCCCCTTTTTACAGCGGGATCCATTTTAGAGCAGACCTAGTGTGTTAGAGAGGACAGCTCGGCTCTTCGAGTCTCTGTCGGCCCAGTGCCGAATTTGGTAACGCCTCCGTATATATGCTGTACATAAACCTTGTTTAACTCACCGTCGTCTCGTCCGCTCGTCTATCAGCTCTGCGCAGAAGCAGTCGCGAGCTGAGAAACCTACGCTACCAAACGGCTGGTGACCTTCCCGGTGGAGTTCGAAGCAGTGGCGCCTTCTGGACCGTGTTGGCGTCGCCGTCTTTCGAAACAGTGGTTGCAGCGGTGAGATTTCTAGGCGCCCTTCGTAACGTCGTCGGAGGTGCGCTTCGCAACAGCGGTGGCATCGGCGGGATTGGCCGGCGTCGCAACAGTGGTTGGCAGCTGCGGGATCGGCCGGCGTCAGCGACATCGATGCGGTGAGTGCCTGATGTTTTCCGCTCAGTTCACCAGACTACTCTTGCTCAGGTTATAGTAGTTTAGAGAAGGGCTGTGTGAAGCATTAGAGTGAGTTTTGATCGTTTCAAGCCAAGTCGACGCGCTTTGAAACCAAAGGTAATGCGGAGGGTGTAAACACGGGAGTGTTTAAAATTGCTTGCGCGTCTTGCTAGTAGGCTTATAGTGGGTACGGCAAGTAAATTGTTAACAGGGGCAAACAGCAAGAGGCTAGTGCGAACGATGGATAACCTTAAAGTGAAGGAACTCATCGAAATTTGTGAGGAACTCGGCATTACT